CCTTATTCCGACCAAGATCGCCCAAGTTACAAGATTTCCAAGACTTGGATTTCTTATTACCTTTTGGGGTTATATCTAATTTGGGTGATTACTTGGGACATGACTATAAAGGGATCTTTGGTTGGGTGGTTAGGGAAGGCAACTTTGACTTTTGGATTGGGGTGGCTAGAAGTTTCTAGCATGGGTTGCAAATGTTGCAACACCTAGGCAAAATCCAACTAGATTGGATTTTGCATGTGACACCTCAAGGACCTCATGATGAGGGTTGCATCCTTGCTGCTAGGAAGGTTCCTACCATCCTTCCCTAGCTCTTGGAGAACCCCTTCCCTCTCATGGTTCTCTTGGAGGTTCTCAACTCCAACTTTCTATGCCTACATGCTTGTACTTCCCCTACCATTCTAGTCATGCGGCTGCTGGACGTTTTTACATGTTTCTCACTCTCTAGAATATCTTAACGACTGATTCAAGTTGGAGATGGTAGCTAAGCCTAAGGCGCAACTTCCTACCGAGCGGATTTGCGTTTAGTTGAGTGATGAGTTCGTCGTAAGCTCTCAAAGTGACGGATCCTGAACAACATAGCATGTGCAAAATTGCAAGAACAAGGGCCTAGCATGTGCAAAATTTCAAGAACAAGGGCCTAACGTGTGCAAAATTGGAAGAACAAGGGCCTAATGTGTGCAAAATTGGAAGAGCAAGGGCCTAGCGTATGCAACATTGCAAGAACAAGGGCCTAGCGTGTGCAAAATCAGAAGAACGGGGGCCTAGCATGTGCAAAGTAGCAAGAACAAGGGCCTAGCGTGTGCAAAATTTCAAGAACAAGGGCCTAGCGTGTGCAAAATTTCAAGAACAAGGGCCTAATGTGTGCAAAATTGGAAGAACAAGGGCCTAGCGTGTGCAAAATTGGAAGAACAAGGGCCTAGCGTGTGCAAAATAGCAAGAACAAGGTCCTAGCATGTGCAAAATTGGAAGAACAAGGGACTAGCGTGGGCAAAATTGCAAGAACAATGGCCTAGCGTGTGCAAAATTGCAAGAACAAGGGCCTAGCGTGTGCAAAATTGGAAGAACAAGGGCCTAGCGTGTACAAAATTTCAAGAACAAGGGCCTAGCATGTGCAAAATTGCCAGAACAAAGAACTAGCGTGTGCAAAATTGCCAGAACAAGGGCCTAGCGTGTGCAAAATTGGAAGAACAAGGGCCTAGCGTGTGCAAAATTGGAAGAACAAGGGCCTAGCCTGTGCAAAATTGCAAGAACAAGGGCCTAGCATGTGCAAAATTGCAAGAACAAGGGCCTAGCGTGTGCAAAATTGGAAGAACAAGAGCTTAGCGAATGCAAAATTGCAAGAACAAGGGCCTAGCATGTGCAAAATTGCCAGAACAAGGAACTAGCGTATGCAAAATGGCAAGAACAAGGGCTTACGGTGTGCAAAATTTCAAGAACAAGGGCCTAGCGTGTGCGAAATTGGAAGAACAATGTCCTAGCGTGCGCAAAATAGCAAGAACAAGGGCCAAGCGTGTGCAAAATTGGAAAAACAAGGGCCTAGCGTGTGCAAAGTAGCAAGAACAGGGGCCTAGCGTGTGCAAAATTAAAAGAACAGGGGCCTAGCGTGTGCAAAGTAGCAAGAACAGTAGCCTAGCGTGTGCAAACTTTCAAGAACAAGGGCCTAGCGTGTGCAAAATTGGAAGAACAAGGGCCTAATGTGTGAAAAATTGGAAGAACAAGGGCCTAGCTTGTGCAAAATTGCAAGAACAAGGGCCGATTGGAAGAACAAGGGCCTAGCGTGTGCAAAGGAGCAAGAACAGGGGCCTAGCATGTGCAAAATTTCAAGAAGAAGGGCCTAGCGTGTGCAAAATTGGAAAAACAAGGGCCAAATATGTGCAAATTTGGAAGAACAAGGGCCTAGCGTGTGCAAAATTGGAAAAACAAGGGCCTAGCGTGTGCAAAATTGGAAGAACAAGGGCCTAATGTGTGCAAAATTGGAAGAATAAGGGCCTAGCGTGTGCAAAATTGGAAGAACAAGGGCCTAGCATGTGCAAAATTGGAGAAACAAGGGCCTAGCGTGTGCAAAATTGGAAGAACAAGGGCCTAATGTGTGCAAAATTGGAAGAATAAGGGCCTAGCGTGTGCAAAATTGGAAGAACAAGGGCCTAGCGTGTGCAAAATTGGTAGAACAAGGGCCTAGCGTGTGCAAAATCGGAAGAACAAGGGCCTAGCGTGTGCAAAGTAGCAAGAACGGGGGCCTAGCGTGTGCAAAATTGCAAGAACAAGGGCCTAGCGTGTGCGGAATTGGAAGAACAAGGGCCTAGCGTGTGCAAAATTGCAAGAACAAGGGCCTAGCGTGTGCAAAATTGGAAGACCAAGGGCATAGTGTGTGCAAATTTGCAAGAACAAGGGCCTAGCATGTGCAAAATTCAAGAACAAGGGCCTAGCATGTGCAAAATTTCAAGAACAAGGGCCTAGCGTGTGCAAAATTGGAAGAACAAGGGCCTAATGTGTGCAAAATTAGAAGAACAAGGGCCTAGCGTGTGCAAAGTTGCAAGAACAAGGGCCTAGCGTATGCAAAATTGGAAGAACAAGGGCCTAGCGTGTGCAAAGTAGCAAGAATAGGGGCCTAGCGTGTGCGAAATTGGAAGAACAAGGGCCTAGCGTGTGCAAAGTAGCAAGAACAGGGGCCTAGCGTGTGCGAAATTGGAAGAACAAGGGCCTAGCGTGTGCAAAATTGGAAGAACAAGGGCCTAGCGTGTGCAAAGTAGCAAGAACAGGGGCCTAGCGTGTGCAAAATTGGAAGAACAAGGGCCTAGCGTGTGCAAAATTGGAAGAACAAGGGCCTAGCGTGTGCAAAGTAGCAAGAACAGGGGCCTAGCGTGTGCACAATTGCAAGAACAAGGGCCTAGCGTGTGCAAAATTAGAAGAACAAGGGCCTAGCGTGTGCAAAGTAGAAAGAACTGGGGCTTAGTATTTGCAAAATTTCAAGAACAAGGGCCTAGCGTGTGCAAAATTGGAAGAACAAGGGCCTAGCGTGTGCAAAGTAGCAAGAACAGGGGCCTAGCATGTGGAAAATTGGAAGAACAAGGTCCTATCGTGTGCGAAATAGCAAGAAAAAGGGCCTACCGTGTGCAAAAATTCAAGAACAAGGGCCTAGCGTGGGCAATATTGCAACAACAAAGGCCTAGCATGTGCAAAATTTCAAGAACAAGGGCCTAGCGTGTGCAAAATAGCAAGAAAAAGGGCCTAGCGTGTGCAAAATTTGAAGAACAAGGGCCTAGCGTGTGCAAAGTAGCAAGAACAGGGGCCTAGCGTGTTCAAAATTTCAAGAACAAGGGCCTAGCGTATGCAAAATTGCAAGAACAAGGTCCTAGCGTGTGCGAAAATTACAAGAACAAGGGCCTAGCATGTGCAAAATTGCAAGAACAAGGGCCTAGCTTGTGCGAAATTGGAAGAACAAGGGCCTAGCGTGTGCCAGGTAGGGTGGCGGTAGGGCCGCAGGTAGGGCGGCGGTAGGGCCGCAGGTAGGGCGGCGGTAGGGCCGCAGGTAGGCGGCGGTAGGGCCGCAGGTAGGGCGGCGGTACGGCCGCAGGTTGGGCGGCGAGTAGGGCCGCAGGTAAGGGCGGCACGCAACGCCGCTAGGGAGGCGACGGGCCGTGCGGCGACGGGCCGGGACAGGCGGCGCGGGGCCGGGATGGGCGGCGCGAGGGCGTTGTCGGGCCGGGACGGGCGGCGCGAGGGCGCCGTCGGGCCGGGACGGGCGGCGCGAGGGCGGCGCGAGGCGGCGAAGGGGAGGCGCCGGGCAGCGTAGGGCGGCGACGGGCCGCTAAGGCGTGCCGGGCCGCACCGGGCGGCGCGACAGTAGGGAGAGGGCACGGGGCGCGACTCGGGCCTGAGCAGAGTGCGCTCCGGGCAGAGAAAAAAAAGTTCGTAGTGGTGGGCCCTAGGAATCATTCCCGCGAGGGAACCTGCTCGATACCATGAGAAGAAACGAGAATGAATGAACTATGAATGAAGTGGGTACAAGTACTAACCCTAATTGGGTTGCACCCCCTATGGGATACCCCACTACAGCCTACACAAAAGTATAAGCTATATAATGTTCTGACATCCTGCATCACGGAGTCACCACCACACTACTCACCGGAAGAACAACTCAACGAAACCACACCCCGCCGCGAGTCACTTCAGCCGAACCCAACATACGCCGCCATCGCCCAAAGCGAAACCATCCGGAAAGGACACATGGTTCTTGGATAGTTGCTGCGGACAGCACATGTGCTCCTCGGGACGCTTCGTTCAACGAGAACACCAACTTCAACGCGAAGTTGTCATTACAGTCGCCAACAATCAGAACCTGCGAACATGACGACAAGGCGTAGTTCAACTTCATACAAGGGAAACAAACGTTATACTGCAGATGTCAAAAGTACTAATCGCGGAGGGACTCGGCTACAACTTAATGAGCGTCAGTCAGCTAATGGCGAAAGGGATTCACCTCGAAGAAGACAGCACCACCCAAGAGTTCAAGCTGTATCACGGGAGATGAGGACTCTACATCAGCAAGGCGGTCCTCAAGAACAACGTCTTCGTTCTTTACTAGGTGCCATGTCGCGGCTAGGGAGGTTTAGGTGCCAGACATAACGGGTGGCGGCGTCGATGAAGGTGATTGTATAGTTGTATATTACTTGTCCTGGTACCCGATTGTACAGGATGTAGCTATACACCTTCTCGAGTGGTGCGTTTGGGGTGCGCTCGGGTTGTGATGAGGCGCAGACGGTCGATGTGGTAAGTCACCTTTAGGACAGGTGAAGCACGTTCCGCGTACTCGTTGAAGTTCTCGTCCGTCGTTCAGGAGGAGTGAGTCCTTGTCGAGTACTCCTGCTCTTATCGTATTGTTTAATACTGTGTTGCTTGGGTGTCCCATCCTTGCGTGCCAGGTGCTTTCGTCGGCGCGATGTCCGGGTGATCGTCGGTACATATCAGATTTGGAGTAGAAGTTGGCGGTGAAGTTGGCGCTACGATGAACTTCTCGTGGTGCTGGGTGTAGTTGTTGCGCGGGTGTTGGTGGTGTGTCGTTGATGAGGAGCGGTGTCGTTGAAGGACCAGCAATTGGTGTTGACGTTCCTGCTGCTGGTGTTGATGGTTCTGCTACTGCCGATGTTGTCTCTGCTACTGCCGATGTTGTCTCTGCTGCTGCCGATGTTGTCTTTGCTGCTGCCGATGTTGTCTCTGCTGCTGCCGATGTTGTCTCTGCTGCTGCCGATGTTGTCTCTGTTGCTGCTGATGTTGTCTGAATTGTTGCTAACGCCCTCGTTCTTTCTGCTTCAGGGATGGTGTGTGAATACCAGAAGCCTTCTGGACTGAAGTCTGGATCAAGGTGTGGAGGGTGTGTCCAGTTGGTGAAGTTAACGATGGCGTCGCTGTCGGCGGTGCCAAGATCAGGAACGAAGTCAAGAACGAAGACGTTGTTCTTGAGGACCGCCTTGCCGATGTAGAGTCCTCCTCTCCCGTGATACAGCTTGAACTCTTGGGTGGTGCTGTCTGCTTCGAGGTGAATCCCTTTCACCATTAGCTGACTGACGCTCATTAAGTTGTAGCCGAGTCCCTCCGCGATTAGTACTTTTGACATCTGCGGTATAACGTTTGTTTCCCTTGTCTGAAGTTGAACTACGCCTTGTCGTCGTGTTTGCAGGTTCTGATTGTTGGTGACTGTAATGACAACTTCGCGTTGAAGTTGGTGTTCTCGTTGAACGAAGCGTCCCGAGGAGCACATATGCTGTCCGTAGCAACTGTCCAAGAACCATGTGTCCTTTCCGGCTGGTTCGCTTTGGGCGATGGCGGCGTATGTCGGGTTCGGCTGAAGTGACTCGCGGCGGGGTGTGGTTTCGTCGAGTTGTTCTTCCGGTGAGTAGTGTGGTGGTGACTCGGTGATGCAGGAGTCACTCAGCTTTGCCATGCAGCTGACGATGTTTCTTGCTCCTTGTGCAGGTTGTCCCGTTGAAGTCGTTGAGGCTTGAATCTGGGTCGTGGGATTTGCTTGCGTTGAGGCGATTTGGCTGCTTGAAGGTCAAAGTTGCCGCTGTGGAGTTGTTGATGATTCGAACAGTGCGTACGCGGGTGTCCTGAAGTTTTGCAGATGTGGCAGAACGGAGGTACTGGCTTCGGTTATTGCTGCCGGTTGTTGTTGTTGTTGTAGCGTCGCTGAGTGTGGAACGCGAATTCCGGCGCTGATGTCTTCTTTTTGTGTCGTTCTTCTTGCAGGTCCATGTCTTGCTGCTCGGCGTGGATTACGGCGTAGAGTGCTGCCTCGGAGATTCTTCCGTGAGCTCGGAGAATGGCCTTCGTGGCGCGCCATTGAGGACCGAGGCCGCCGATGATGACTGTCACAAAGGCGTCTTCAGAGATCGACCCTCCGCATCGAAGAAGCTTGTCGCGCAACTCGTGACATCGACTTATATACGCCATTCCTTTCTCTCCTGGTTTCATTTCAACCGTTGTCAGTTGCGCCATTAACCGAATTTGGCTTACGCTCTCTATTCCTTGATACAGGCTCTTCAGGTGGTTGTACGCGAGCTCCGCGGAGTTGCCGTAACCTCGGTAAGACCTTATGTTCTGCTGTTGAGTCGGGGTGATATTCCTCAATAGGATTGTGTACGCCATCATTGACTGATAGGTGTACTACTACTTCTCGTACTGTGTGCCGTTTGTTGGGTATGGCAGAGACCCGTTGAAGAACCCAAGTATCTGCGCGCCTTCCATCATCAGCTCGAACTCGAACGACCAGGTGAAGAAGTCCTTTCCATCGAAGGGTCTTGACGTCTGCATCTTCAGAACGTGTGCGAACTGCGACTGAACTTGTAATGCGTCCTGTGATTTTTCTTGTCCAGGTGAAGGCTGTGGGTGTGGCATAAAGCTGATGGACCTACGCTCGTACGGAGCAAAGGTATGCTGCTGTTGTTGATTTCCTCGTGCATATGATGAGCCGTCGAGACTCATAGGTGTTGCTCCGTTGTTGTTGTTGTTGTGTGACTGCGCAGGTGCCGATTGCTGGTGTTGCTCGTAGAAGGACATGAAGGAGAAAAACTTCTCCATCATGCTCTAGTCGAAGTCAGCAGGTTGATTCACGGGAGTCTCTGTAGATGTTGCTCTGGGTCTTGTTGCCGTGCCCTCCTCTGTCTGTAGGCCAGAGGCAGGAGGTGGAGTAGGAGTAGTGCCCTGGGAGCCGTTGGAGTTGCTCCTTTCCTTTTGTGTAGCCATGCTTGTTGATGTTGTCGGTATAGAAGTTGAATTCCCCTTGATAGCTCTCATACCATGTTGGAAATGAGAAGTCGCTAGAGTGCAGCGGAAGCTCTAGGAATTATCGACATCCCTACAGCGGGGCTATTGGTCACTCAGAGGTAGCTCTCCTGGCTTGTAACATGGTGCCAAAGCAGCGGCCGAGGGTAGGCCGGACACAAGCTTGAGAATTGTGTAATATGAGCAAGGCATTACATTCTGTTATATAGCAAACGCATAGGGCAACAGTTACCAAGGCGCAATTGTATAACAGTTGCGCTGCGTCGCTTGGGTTGTCTTGTTACAGTCGCACTGGCGAGACTTTTCAGCTTCGGCAAGGGTGCGGTATCCTGCCGCGCCCCACTGGTCAGTTTTGCGTACTGTAGAGGATGACTCCTGCTGTCAATTCGACTCTTGAGCTGCCACGCGGGTCGCAATCGGTGTGCTCGGTTGCGGCCCGTTGATTCGCCATCAGGTTCAAATCCCTCGCTATGGCGAGCCCTTGTAAGCACACTTCGAACAGTGCACTTATAATAAAAGCATACAGACATATTCTCAACAACACAAACCACCCCGGCTGCGACAAGCAAGGAAACAACGACGATCGGGACCGAAGTCTTCGCACAACTTCTTCAGCGACTCACCAGCTTGGAGCAAGGGCTCCAAACATTGCGGAACGGCAACGCGGGAACATCCTCGCAACCTTCTCAACCAGCCCCAACTAGCCAAAACGCCGCCCCGCACACTTTCTCCCTCGACACAAATGGTTCAACCCCCAAAGCTCCCCGTCCCAGTGAAGAGGTGATTCTCTCTACGCAATAGAAGGTTCTAAGCATATAAAAAATAAAGACAAGTACCTGCTTTGACGGCAAAGATTTTTATACCTGGAGCTTCGAACTGGAGCTCCTGCTGCAGAACGCCCAAATCTTCCATTATTTCGATGGCAGTTACACGGAGCCTGCTGAGGACACCGACGACGCCAAGACGAGATATTACAATGAATCCCTGATGGCAAACGGGGTGCTCCTGCGGAACATGTCGCCGGCGGAGCAATTGAGCATTCGCTCATACAAAACATCGGCCGCTCCAGCCCTCGACGCCTGGCGCCACCTCAACGGCGTGTACCAGCCGAAGGACTCTGTTTCTTCGAGCCGGCTGCTCCAGCAGCTACTGGAAACCAAAATGCCCCCAGGGGAGAAGGCCAACAGCTACATCAGTCGCTGTCGGAGCCTTCGCGACCAAATCGCGAAGTTGGGAAGCTCGATGTCGGAGGAAATTTTCGTGAACATCGTGCTTCAAGGGCTCGGCCCAGAGTGGCGGCCCTGCAAGGCGCTTCTCCGACAGCAGGGGGTCATCTCGGAGGCCGCCCTTTGCGCCGCCCTTCTCGTCGAACAACGGGATATGGACCAGCAGCGACCAGCGCCACGACGAGAACGTGAACGGCTCGCCTTCTACGCCAACAACAACGAAGAGCGAAGGCCGCGGCGCCAATACTGCGAAATCTGCAGAGACTTCGGGCACCTGGCGGATCGATGTAAGTCCCGATCTCGCCCTCGCCAGACCAATCCGAGCAACTGGTCCGATAGACAAGACGCAAGAGGCAACGTGCGTCCAGCCCAGGGGTATCAACCCCCACCCGCGCGCACCATGAACCCAACGGTTCAGCATCAGCAGCAGCAGCCGTCATCGACGGCCCCAGTACGCAACATGGCCATGACGGGCGAGTCGCGTCGCCGGCGCGTGCGCTCACCTTCACCTGAGCCAGCACCGCACCCCATTGGCGAATTCAACAACAACAATCCGTTCAGTCCGCGCCATGACTTCACCGACGACGACGACCAGGACTGGAATCTTCCAACCCCGCTGCTTGAAAGTCCCCCGCACGTACCTGATATGCGGGTGGTGCCACTTGATTGGCTCTTGCGCGAGCAATTTCTGAAGTTCGACACTCCGCACATCGTCACGCCGCGACAGGTACAACACTTGGTACCTGGAAAGCTGCTGCGGCCAGCATATGGTGGGCTCCGAGCGTTACATATCCAACGCCGTCGCCACCCCCACAGTCACTTACGTCACCGTGGCCAACAACACACGCCTGCGCGCAAGTGTGCAAGGCATCGTCGTTCTCAAAGCACGAGGAAGCCGCACGCACATCACACTCAACGATGTGCTGATCGTCCAGAACCTGCGCTTCAACCTGCTCTCCGCCGCACAGCTCATGGACTGCGGCGTTGACCTCAGCACGGATCGCACGACGCGCGACATTCTTCTTCACTACGAATCACGAAATTTCCCCCGTGGGCAGATCGGACGAGCGCACTCCAAAAATGGAGTGTATGTCCTGGATTTCGACATTCCCGACTGCAGCGGCGACTCGCACGAGTTAATTGATATCGTGCCACTGTGCTTCGAGCACATCCACCGCACGGATCGGAAGCACCGTGACGGCAGACCGTGGGTGCCGCATCATCCCCACCCACGCGAAACGGCGCTGCATGAACCTGACCCAGACGGCATCTGTAGGGATTGTCACACGCCAACGGCATCAACCAGCGCAATTGCCGGCCATGGCCTCGCCGCCATTGCCGAAGCAGAGCTCCACGCGCCGCCAGAAGAAGGGATGTCGCATTTCAAACTTGAAGTCACCACAAACGGCGTGTTCGGCACGCCAGAGCACCCTGTCATCGGTCCCCCCTCACAACATCTTCAAGGCATGTTGCGCGGAACTGGCATCGGCACCTTCGACGCCAATGGCGTGCCTCGACCCTACACCTACTCCCATCAGCGCGACACGTTGAAGAAACTTACCGTGGAATAGGAAGAAGGATTGGTGCGGCGCGAAGCTGAGGAGCTTCGCCAACAAAGCCTCGCCGAAGCGCGCAGGACATTCGCTTGCGGCGCGTGGGGAGCCGAAGCGGAAGAAAGTGCCTCCAATAAAGGGGGGTGGGGCAGCGCTGGCGGATGGGGAACAAGTGATACTGGCGGATGGGGAACCAGCGGCAGAACTTGGGCCAACGTAAGAGGTGGATGGGGCGCCGCAACTGGCGCCGACAACTGCGGCTGGGGGGCTCTCCGCGAAGACCAAAAGGGGGGAGACGACTAAGCAGAAGGCACTAAGGCAAAATTTACCATCGGCAAATTCGCCAGCCGCGCGCGCTAGGGGATTCACCTCGGCATCAGTCACGAGTACAAAGCATGGATTGTGCTGGATCTCCTCAGTCAGATAACCGCCCACGCTCGCGACGTAATTTTCTACGAACGCCTCTTCCTCGAGCAGTTCCGCCACGACGAGCAGATATACGCGAACCGCGTTTACGCAAACGATGGGCACAACTACGCAACACCCGAAGACAAAGTCGCTGCAGCAATTCTGGAGCAGGATACTAGGGGCGAGTTTGCATGGGAAAATCGGCGCAGCAGCGATGACGATGACGACGATTCCTCAGGAGGAGGAACGGGCGGAATAGGCGGAAGCGGCAGAGGCGCAGCACCATCAGCACAGCCTGAACCAGAGAGCGATGACGAGGATGTGCAGGAAGTCATCCCGCAACGTCGCCACGACAACACCGTTTCAGGACTACAGCTGCTCGGGCTTCACACCGCAACCTCAAAGGCGCCACGTGTCATCGAGCCGCGAAACCCGCGCGAAGCTTTCACTAGACCACACAACAAAGAATGGCGCGAGGCGATGGACGCGAAAATCAAGGCGCTCGAATCCCGTGACACCTGGGTGTTAGTCGACCGTATGACAATCAAAGGCGCAAGGGTTGTTTCGAGCAAATGGGTCTTGCGCATGAAGACCGCAGCGGACGGAACGATCGAGCACTTCAAGGCGCGTTGGGTGGTACGCGGATACGACCAGAGGCACGGCATCGACTTCGACCAGACGTTCGCTCCAGTCAGCCGCCACACCTCCGTTCGAATCCTGCTTGCCATCACTGCCGCAAGGCCCCTGCCTCTCCGCCAGATCGACGTGAAGAACGCGTTCATGTACGCGTTAGTGGACGCCGTGATCTACGTGGAGCAGCCACATGCATACGGCGAAGGGGATTTGCGCGTATGCCAGTTGCGAAAATCCCTCTACGGGATAAAACAGGCACCAAGGCTCTGGCAGCAATATCTACACAACATCCTGCTTGAAATCGGGTTCAAGCAAATGCCGCACGATCCTGGGATGTACTACCGCGATTTTCGCGGCGAATACATCCTGCTCACGGTCTACGTCGACGACCTACTTTACACAGGATCGAGCAACGAACTACTCGAGAAATTCGAGAAGGCCTTGGCGGGGCGCGTCGACATCACATGCAACTACGAGGTGAAGCAGTTCTTAGGCCTCAACATCTCCTACGCGCCTGAGGCCATTCACCTTTCAGCGGCTAAGTACGCAGAGGAGTTAGGGAAGCGGTGTCAGAACATTATAGCTTACTTATTTGTGTAGGCTATAGTGGGGTACCCCATAGGGGGTACAACCCAATTAGGGTTTCATATTTGTACTCACTTCATTCATAGTTCATTCATTCTCGTTCAATTCTTCTCATGGAATCAGAGCAGGTCCCCTCCTAGGGACTGTTCCTAGGGCCCACCGAAGCGCGCCCCGAGGCGCGCGTTCCTTTTTTTTTAGCGACCCTGCGTGTCGCCTTTACCCCTACGGCCCCGCTTCGGCCCCGCATAGGCCCCGTCGGCCCCGCTTAGGCCCCGCTACGGCCCCGCGTCGGCCCCGCTAAGGCCCCGTCGGCCCCGCTTAGGCCCCGCTACGGCCCCTCGTCGGCCCCGCTTAGGCCCCGTCGGCTCCGCTCAGGCCCCGTCGGCCCCGCTTAGGCCCCGCTACGGCCCCGCGTCGGCCCCACTTAGGCCCCGTCGGCCCCGCTTAGGCCCCGTCGGCCCCGCTTAGGCCCCGCTACGGCCCCGCTACGGCCTCGCTACGGCCCCGTCGGCCCCGCCTAGGCCCCGCCGACCCTGCTACGGCCCCGCTACAGCCCGTCGTCGGCCCCGCTACGGCCCCGCTACGGCCCCGCTTAGGCCCTGCTGCAGCCTGCCGCGCCACGCGTGCAGCCGCCCGTGCGCCGCCCGTGCACCCGCCTGTGCAACCGCCCGTGCAGCCGCCCGTGCAGCCGCCCGTGCAGCCGCCCACCGTGCCGCCCGTGAGCCGCCCCAGCCGCCCGTGAGCCGCACGTGCAGCCGCCCGCGCCGCCCGTGTGCCCCCGAGTCACCCGAGCCGCGCGAGCCGCCCGAGCCGCCCGAGCCGCCCAAGCCGCCCAAGACACCCGAGCCGCCCGAGCCGCCCGAGCCGCCCGAGCCGCCCGAGCCGCCTGAGCCGCCCGATCCGTCTACGGTCCCGGGAGCCGGATCCTGTGGGGCTGCTGCTACTCTTGGGCCGGCGGAGTTGCTGAGCTGCTGTGTTGCTGTCCTACTGAGCTGCACGACCCTTCTTCTCTGGTGAGACTGTCGGCTGCTATCATGGCCACCCCCAGTGTCCTGGCCTTTGACGATGAGGGTCGCGCCATTTACTTTGCGGTCTGAGTGGTGCTGACCTACAGGATGTGGGTGTCCACCAGTTCACTCCTGCTCGTCAGCGGGTGACACACTGCACAGAGGCTAGCACAGGTCGCCACCTGGCTACGTTTACACGTCAGCCAGGGTCGAGCCTGTACACACTGACCACTACTTCTCCTCCCGTTGCTGAGTTTGGTAGAGTCCCTTCGTCTGGTCAGGTGTTTGCCGCAGCGTCAAGGTCTGGTCCTGAGTCTGCCCCCTGTTCGTGTCGCCGTCTGTCTCACGAGACTCTCCTCTGGCACCACCGCCTTGGCCACCCCTCTCTGCTTCGGCTCAGAGGCATGGCCTCCCGTCTTCTTGTGTCTGGTCTCCCCCGGTCCCTCCCTCCCCTTCCTCAGGGCCCTGGCCCTGCCTGTGTCCCCTGTGTTGAGGGGCGCCAGCGTGCTGCCCCTCACTCCTCCCAGTTTCCTCCGACAGAGGCTCCGTTGCAGACGCTTCACATGGACGTGTGGGGCCCTGCCCGCGTCCGTGGACTCGGTCACGAGCGCTACTTCTTGTTGGTGGTTGACGACTACTCGCGTTACACCACAGTCTTCCCCTTGCGCAGCAAGGGTGATGTCACTGAGGTGCTGATCGACTGGATCCGCGCAGCTCGTCTCCATCTCAGGCAGAGCTTTGGCTCGGACTTTCCTTTGTTGCGTCTGCACTCGGACAGAGGCGGAGAGTTCTCCTCTGGCCTTCTGCGCGCCTTCTGTCGTGCGCGAGGCATCCGCCAGACCTTCACGCTTCCGGACTCACCGCAGCAAAATGGGATTGCAGAGCGCCGCATTGGCATGGTCATGGACGTCGCTCGTACGTCTATGATGCATGCGGCTGCCCCCCATTTTCTGTGGCCGTTTGCGGTCAGGTACGCGGCGCATCAGATCAACCTCCACCCCAGGGTCTCCAGGCCGGAGACCTCCCCAGCCCTGCTGTGGACGGGGAAGGTTGGCGATGCGTCGGCGTTCCGGGTCTGGGGATCTCGGGCGTTTGTCCGCGACTTGTCTGCGGACACGCTCTCCCCTCGCGCTGCTCCCTGCGTCTTCCTGGGGTTCCCCCCCGACGCCCCTGGGTGGCAGTTCTACCACCCCACCTCTCGGCGTGTTCTGTCCTCACAGGACGTCACGTTCGACGAGTCGGTACCCTACTACCGCCTGGAGGTGCTTCGTCTCGCCGAGAGCCACTCTCCCCACAGGAGCTGCGTGAGTGGTTTGCCCGGCACTGGAGGCGTGCTGCTGGTGCTGGAGGTTCTTCGGCTGCAGAAGGTGCTGCTGCCGCGCGTCCCGCAGGTGCTCGTGCTGTGGGTGCTGGAGCTGCTGGGCCTGAGGGTTCTCCTGGAGCTGGTGCTGCTGAGGGTGTTGGCGCTGTGACTACTGCTGGCGGTCCGACTGGCAGTGCTCCTGGTGCTGCTGGAGGTGCTGCTGGAGGTGCTGCTGGAGCGGGTACTCCTCCTGGGGGTACTGGTGCTGTCCCTGCTGTTTCTGGCGTCGCCTCGCGGCCCCGACCGTACTTCGTTCCGCTCCTGCAGCAGGTTCTTGGTCTTACACCTTCTCCTGGTCCTCCTCCGCCTCTCTTAGAGGGTCCACAGCCTGTCCCGTCCCAGTCACAGCTACAGCCTGCCTCCCCTTTGCCTGCTCCTTCTCCCTACGCTGGTCCGACTGGAGGTCTTACTGAGCGTCGTGAGCCTGCGTCTCGTCCTGCGTCGCCTGTTTGTCCTGCACGCACTGGTGGTCGCGGTTCGCGTCAGCGTCCTTCTCCTGTCCCTGGCACGCACAGGATGTCTCTGCGTCCGTCCACTGCTCCTCTGCGTGCCCCTTTGCCTTCTCCTCCTGAGTCCTCTCTTCCTGCTCTTGCCGACCCGGAGTCGGACTCTCTTCGTGCTGCCAGTCGCACTGTCACGTGTCTCCTTGCTACTGCTGTCACTGACCCTTCCTTCGAGTCTTCTGCTGCGTCTGCCCTTGTCACTGAGCTTGTCGACTTTGCTGCGCGCTGTCGTCTAGACTACCTTGGCGGGGCGCGTCGACATCACATGCAACTACGAGGTGAAGCAGTTCTTAGGCCTCAACATCTCCTACGCGCCTGAGGCCATTCACCTTTCAGCGGCTAAGTACGCAGAGGAGTTAGGGAAGCGGTTCAACATCTCACCTGCACCACTCTTGACTCCCTACCGAACTCCAGGTTCGAACCACAAACCTGACAACAAAGCCCCATCCCCTGTTGGAGTTCAGACCTACCAGCAGCAGCTGGGATGCCTGCTCTTCGCCTCCGTCACCTGCAAGCCAGACCTCTCCTACATCGCAAGTCAGCTGGCCTAGTACTCACGCAAACCAACGATTGGGAATCTTCTGGACCTGCAGCGCGCCCTACAGTTCTTCATTTCAACACCCAAGATTGGGCTGTGCTACTCAACTGCACCAACCCCATCCTTCAACCTCATCGGCTACGTGGACGCCGATCACGCAGCAGATCCCGACAATCGACGGTCCATGACTGGCTTCCTGTTCCGACTCGAACCAGCGGGACCAATTTCCTGGAATTCGCAGAAGCAGGAGTTGGTTGCCCTGTCATCAGCCCAAGCGGAATTCATCACAGCAACCGCAGCAGTTCGCGAAGGTCTCTACCTACAGGAACTTTTGCAGGAGGCAAAAATTCCAGTTTCGCCCACCTTTCGTCTTCATTGCGACAACCAGAGCGCGATCCGAATCGCGAACAAGCCTGGCTTCGTCAATCGCACCAAGCACATTGCACTGTGGTATTTCTTCGTGAAGGACTAAGTGGACAAGGGCAAGGTTGACTTGACCTATTGCCTGACTGGTGACATGGCAGCAGACTTCCTCACGAAGCGTCTGCCACGCCAGCAGTATCAGCACTGCTCCGAAGTCAGCGGAGTAGTCAAGCAAGTCAAGTCGAGCTACGGCCAGGAGTGAACGGGGGTGTTACAAATAGTAATGTCTGAAACATTACTGTGCACTCCTCACTGCAGCTAAGGAAGCACGCAGTATCGAGAATGAACACGAAGAGTCAGAGTTGACTCAAAGTGTCAGACGGTTGGGATGCATATGGACCATCGGAGCAAACGGCATCGGGCAGCTGCAGGCAGGAGGGTTCTAGCGGGAACAGTTTCAGACGGTTTTGCTCGCTATTGTAAACTCCTGCTCTATGCCTGCTTGCTCATTGTGCTGATTACACCCCACTTTGGCTATGGGGGTGTGTCAGAATGTTATGTTTGTCTAGCCTGCAGTGGGGTACTCAATAGTGAGTACAGCCCAACTTAGGGTGTGCTATATGTACTCAACTGCTTGCTAGTGAACTCCTCCTCTTCTCTACTTTCATTCCTCATTCTTTCACATTAATTAATGCTCTTGTTTTTTATTACAGATATGAAGTTTTAACAAATGAAGAAAAAACGAGAAAACAAAAAAACTTTGCAAAAAGTATGAAAAAGATCGTAAAGACTTAGATAAAAGAACTATAACAGAATTTTTGCATAAAGATTTAATTGAAAAACTTGCTGAAAGTAAAAAAAAAAAATTACAACAGAAGAAAAACACTCGGAACGAGCGCTTCCACCCTCAAAACGCGGAAGGATCCGCACATGTGCAGGAAGTGCAGCGGGCGCTCTTCATTCGCGATCGCTGAAGACCGATGATGCTCGCAACCCTCCCACGCCGATGCTGGATTGGTAATAGGCCCAGAAAAGCGCAGCCACGTGACCAAGCAGAAGAAAAACGCTCGTAACGAGAGCTTCCACCCCAAAAACGCGGAAGGATCCGCACATGTGCAGAAAGTGCAACAGGCGCTCTTCATTCGCGACCGCCGATGACCGATGATGCATGCAACCCTCCCACGCCGATGCTGGATTTGTAATAGGCCCAGAAAAGCGCAGCCATGTGACCAAGCGGAAGAAAAATGCTCGGAACGAGCGCTTCCACCCCCAAAACGCGGAAGGATCCGCACATGTGTAGGAAGTGCAGCGGGCGCTCTTCATTCGCGAGCGCTGAAGACCGATGATGCTCGCAACCCTCTCACGCCTTTGCTGGCTTGGTAATAGGACCAGACAAGCGCTGCCACGTGACCTAACAGAAGAAAATACGCTCGGAACGAGCGCTTCCACCCCTTAAACGCGGAAGGATCCGCACATGTGCAGGAAGTGCAGGGCACTCTTCATTCACAACCGCCGATGATCGATAATGATCCCAACCCTCCCACGCCGATGCTGGATTGGTAATAGGCCCAAAAAAGCGCAGCCACGTGACCAAGCAGAAGAAAAACGCTCGTAACGAGAGCTTCCACCCCAAAAACGCGGAAGGATCCGCACATGTGCAGAAAGTGCAACGGGCGCTCTTCATTCGCGACCGCCGATTACCGATGATGCTCGCAACCCTCCCACGCCGATGCTGGATTGGTAATAGGCCCAGAAAAGAGCAGCCATGTGACCAAGTGGAAGAAAAATGCTCGGAACGAGCGCTTCCACCCCCAAAACGCGGAAGGATCCGCACATGTGTAGGAAGTGCAGCGGGCGCTCTTCATTCGCGAGCGCTGAAGACCGATGATGCTTGCAACCCTCTAACGCCTTTGCTGGCTTGGTAATAGGACCAGACAAGCGCTGCCACGTGACCTGACAGAAGAAAATACGCTCGGAACGAGCGCTTCCACCCCCAAAACGCGGAAGGATCCGCACATATGAAGGAAGTGCAGGGCGCTCTTCATTCACGACCGCCGATGATCGATGATGCTCGCAACCCTCCCACGCCGATGCTGGATTGGTAATAGGCCCAGAAAAGCGCAGCCACGTGACCAAGCGGAAGAAAAACTCTCTGAACGAGCGCTTCCAGCCCCAAAATGCGGAAGGATCCGAACATGTGCAGGAAGTGCAGCGGGCGCTCTTCATTCGCGAGCGCCGATAACTGATGACGCTCATGCCAATGCTGGATTGGTAGAAGGCCCAAAAAAGCGCAGCCACGTGACCAAATGGAAGAAAAACGCTCAGAACGAGCGCTTCCACCCCAAAACGCAGAAGGATCCGCACATGTGCAAGAAGTGCAGTAGGCGCTCTTCATTCGTGAGCGCCGATGACCGATAATGCTCGCAACCCTCCCACACCAATGCTGGATTGGTAATAGGCCCAGAAAAGCGCAGCCACGTGAAGGATCCGCACATGTGTAGGAAGTGCAGCGGGCCCCCTTTTCCTAGCGTGTGCAAAATAGCAAGAACAACGACCTAGCATGTGCAAAATTGCAAGAACAAGGGCCTAGCGTGTGCAACGTTGCAAGAAAAAGGTCCTAGCGTGTGCAAAATTGCAAGAACAAGGTACTAGCGTGTGCAAAATTGGAAGAACAATGGCCTAGCGTATGCAAAAAAGCAAGAACAAGGGCATAGCTCGTGCAAAATTGCAAGAACAAGGGCCTAGCGTGTGCAAAATTGCAAGAACAAGGGCCTAGCGTGTGCAAAATTGCAAGAACAAGGGCCTGGCGTGTGCAAATTTGCAAGAACAAGGGCCTAGCGTGTACACAATAGCAAGAACAAGGGCCTAGCGTGTGCAAAATTGCAAGAACAAGGGCCTGGCGTGTGCAAAATAGCAAGAACAAGGGTCTAGCGTGTGCACAAATGGAAGAACAAGGGCCTAGCGTGTGCAAATTTGCAAGAACAAAGGCCTAGCATGTGCAAAATAGCAACAACAAGGGCATAGCGCGTGCAAAATTGCAAGAACAAGGGCCTAGCGTGTGCAAAATTGCAAGAACAAGGGCCTAGCGTGTGCAAAATAGCAAGAATAAAGGCCTAGCGCGTGCAAAATTTCATGAACAAGGACCTAGCGTGTGCAAAATTGCAAGAACAAGGGCCTAGCGTATGCAAAATAGCAAGAACAAGGGCCTAGCGTGTGCAAAATTGGAAGAACAAGGGCCTAGCGTGTGCAAAATAGCAAGAACAAGAGCCTAGCGTGTGCAAAATAGCAAGATTAAGGGCCTAGCGTGTGCAAAATAGCAAGAAAAAGGGCCTAGCGTGTGCAAATTTGCAAGAACAAAGGCCTAGCGTGTGCAAAATTGGAAGAACAAAGGCCTAGCGTGTGCAAAATAGCAAAAACAAGGGCCTAGCGTGTGCAAAATTTCAAGAACAAGGGCCTAGCGTGTGCAAAATTGGAAGAACAAGGGCCTAGCGTGTGCAAAATTGCAAGAACAAGGGCCTGGCGTGTGCAAAATAGCAAGAACAAGGGCCTAGCGTGTACAAAATAGCAAGAACAAGGGTCTAGCGTGTGCAAAATAGAAAGAACAAGGGCCTCGTGTGTGCAAAATAGCAAAAACAGGGGCCTAGCGTGTGCAAAATTGGAAGAACAAGGGCCTAGCGTGTGCAAATTTGCAAGAACAAGGGCCTAGCTTGTGCAAAATCGCAAGAAGAAGGGCATAGCGTGTGCAAAATTGCAAGAACAAGGGCCTAGCGTTTGCAAAATTGGAGCAACAATGGCCTAGCGTGTGCGAAATAGCAAGAACAAGGGCCTAGCGTGTGCAAAATTGCAAGAACAAGGGCCTAGCGTGTGCAAAATTGCAAGAACAAGGGCCTAGTGTGTGAGAAATAGCAAGAACAAGGGCCTAGCGTGTGCAAAATAGCAAGAACAAGGGCCTAGCGTGTGCAAAATTGCGAGAACAAGGGCCTAGCATGTGCAATATAGTAAGAACAAGGGCCTAGCGTGTGCAAAATAGCAAGAACAAGGGCCTAGCGTGTGCAAACTACGAAGGACAAGGGCCTAGCTTGTGCAAAATTGGAAGAACAAGGGCCTAGCGTGTGCAACTTTGCAAGAACGAGGGCCTAGCGTGTGCAAAATCGGAAGAAAAATGGGCCTAGCGTGTGCAAAATAGCAAGAACAAGGGCCTAGCGTGTGCAAAATTTCAAGAACAAGCGCCTAGCGTGTGCAAAATTGGAAGAACAAGGGCCTAGCGTGTGCAAAATTTCAAGAAAAAGGGCCTAGCGTGTGCAAAATTGGAAGAACAAGAGCCTAGCGTGTGCAAAATTGGAAGAACAAGGGCCTAGCGTGTGCAAAATTGGAAGAACAAGGGCCTAGCGTGTGCAAAATAGCAAGAACAAGGGCCAAGCGTGTGCAAAATTGCAAGAACAAGGGCCTAGCATGTGCAAAATTTCAGGAACAATGGCCTAGCGTGTGCAAAATTTCAAGAACAAGAGCCTAGCGTGTGCACAATTGCAAGAGCAAGGGCCTAGCGTGTGCAAAATTGTAAGAACAAGGGCCTAGCATGTGCAAAAGTTCAAGAACAAGGGCCTAGCGTGTGCAAAATAGCAAGAACAAGGGCCTAGCGTGTGCAAACTT